AAACAAAAAGACTCGAAATCCGAAACCGACAACTCTCACTGATTAGATTTCACATTCCGAGACTAATGAAATCGACGAAATTCCGTTCCGACACTCGAAACTTCAAAAGACACCAAAAGTCACTTTCTTAACAACTTAGCCTTTCAAAAGCATAAACCTACCAAATTCTCAACTTTTAACTCAAAGTTCAAAATTAACTTTTCAAAACTCAATTATAGAAGACTCGGGGTCAATTTTGGGAGGGAAAAATGGTAATTTCCATAGAAAAATAAAAAATGACCAACCGAGTCATTACAAATATCATTGTGTGGCATATATAAGTAACCCCCCCCCCCCCCCCCGCCCTCCCCCTTCCTCGATTTATAATATGTCACCCAATTGCTTAATCCTATTTTGTATTGTAATTTTTAGAGGTCACCTGCAATTATTTTGTACCACATTTATATCTTCTAGACACGCCTTTACAGTTTGCCTCCTGGTGCATTTTTATAACTATTTTTTATGCTTTTACTTTGTTTTAAAAATAGTAGATTATATTTATAAATATAGTATAATTTAAAATAACAAAATATAAAATATCGAGTTATAAATTAAAATTTTATTTTTTTCTTATTACTATATCATATGTGTCTCTTCATTATGTTAAAACTATCCATAGCTAACCGCCTTTTTAAAAAAAAAATCCTCTAATAAATAGAGCATTATTTCGAGCGTTTAAGAATGTAACTTTCCTTTATTTAAGAAATTATTTGACCGTTGGCTACTTATTATTATATCATTGTGCGAGATTTTGAAAATCTGACTACACGCTTCTTTGACCATTTTTTAGTTTTTTTTCCTATTTTTCTTCAATATACAAGATTTAAGATAATCTCATCACCTATTTTTTTTTCTTATATATATCAAACACACACACCCTTTATGCTACTATCAGTATCACCCATAATACTTATTCTACTAGAATATTAGTATTATTTTTTCTTTCGGCGAAATGAGCTTTGCTTTAAAGAATTCAAATCACCTTATCAACCATTCTTTGGGAGGCATCAGTGTTGAATTTTTCTACTTTTCCATCTTCTGAAGGTTTAAAAATTTTATTATTTGTGATGTTTCATTTCTTTTTAGTTTTTTACCTTTTTAGATTTGACGGTGTTGTTTTTCAAAATCTAAAGAAGAAAATAGTTTTTTCCTGATAAAATTTTTGGAACCTTGATCAAGTATAAATCACAGTTATGATATTGATTTTTTTTTATAAGTTGATTAGACAAATCAAAATTGTTACCCGAAAAAATATACCTTTTCTAGAAAGGCTAAAAAGACGATTTTCTCTATTTCAATTTATGTGACACTAGATAAATTAGCAATATGTTTAAGAAAAGAAGAAAGACTTTTGAAATTTATAGTCAAAAATAATTTTTAGATATTAGTGTGATTATAAATAATTTCATCAAGTGCAAATGTCAATTTTAAAGTTGAATTATTTTTAAATATATCGATATGATTTTTTTTTGGATGTACCAAAAAGAAAAGGATGGCACATAAATCAGGACAAAGATTAATTAAAATCACTTTTCAAAATGATTTATTTTTTATTCATCTTCAAACAAACTTCTTAATTATGTAACGAAAAATAACGTTATTGTTATAGATCTTATTATTTTTTTCTGTACAATTTTTGTCAGATCCCTGAGTGAATTCTATCATAGTGAACTTTGTATCATTCATTTACTCTTGAGCTGTTATTTTTCTTTTGATTGTTTGATCTAATTTTTTTCAATTATTTTTCAAGAATACGTGCGAGATGGAAGGTGAAATTCAAAGACTTAGGATTGAAAATCAAAGGCTCATTGAAGAACGAATTGTTTCACAATGTCAATTAGGTACTGCAAGAAAGGAACTTCACCGCAAGAATATTATAATAGATCAGATTCAGGTTGAGCATGAAATCAACTGTAGGCAACTTATGAAAAAAGGTTTGCAGCTGATAGACGATAATATCCCAAATATCGAACCTCTGAAAAATGAGATCCTACCATTGAACGTGCACATCAGATTGAGAAAGTCATGCGAGCACATTGTGGACATATTGAAGTAAAAATTCATGCATGTGTAGGTGATAATTGCATTGAGGCAGATAACCACATTCTATCTGTTGAAGTAGTAGCGCATTATGCAACCATGCCAAAAGATGCCCTTGGAATCACGAGGAAGTTCATGAATAAACCGAAGACAACAATGAATTTGTGGCAGTCCATAGTATTTTTGTGAACTGATTGTTGAGCGTTCATAGTCTTTTGATAATCGTGAACACAAATAATGACGCTTTTGTTATTGGCATTATTTTTTCTTTTTTAATACTTATGGATAAATTATATAAATTTACAAATTTCGCTATTTGAATTTTGGCTAATTTTTGAATTGTTTGTCCTATAACAATCAAATTTATGAATCGTGAGATACAAGTTCTTTAGAATAACAATACAAACTAAAGTGATTTTAGAAGAAAAAAAAACAATTAATTATGAAATACACGTGTAAAGGAACAATATTTGAAGTTGACATATATATTCTCTTCTAATTAAATAAAGTTATAGATACTTAGCTTTTACCAGTTTTTTGTTAAGACATTTTCACTTAATTGAATTTCTCTTTCGTATTCGTTTGTTGACATATCTTTCCTTGCTCATGAACTGCTCCTAAGTCCACTGAAATCTTCCACCATCCTCACATTTTTGAGTTGGGTCGTGGAGACATTTTCACTTACTTGATTTTAGTTCTTTTTCATTAAATTTTATCTTCTAGTATGAAGTTGTTAACCTAGGTTTTAATTTTGATATTGGGAAACCTAGAAATCTCATAAAAATGGATTCTTAGCATGTGAACGACTCAAAAGAGGTTAATGAGGCTAAAACTCCATGAATGAGATTATAGTGATCATGGAAATATGTGGTTTGATAAATTGACCAATTAATAATTCGCTAGACCTTTTAAACAGTAGAATTAGGCGAGTTTGAATATCCAAGATCTTCATTTGAGAAAATAGGTCATTGAAGGGACCTTATACTTTTTCTAGGACTTTTAGCGTTCTGAGGCATTGGAAAAAGATAAGGCTTCGATAATTTAGCTTGTTTGATTCTAATTTGCCGGTTGAGGTAGGTTGCAATTGAGGTGGCTTAGTTGTTGATATGTAATGTGAGTTGTATTACATGTTTATTGATCTTTGGACAAAGTTGATGTTGTTTATGATTGAAAAAAGTGTTGCAGGAATGAATAATGCAAATCGTTGAACTGATTATTTTCTGTTGTTACGAGATATGAACTTATAATTATAATATATTTTGATAATGTGATGAATGATGATCTTGTGGTTATGTATGTGTGTTTTGTTATCTTGAGAGGTAACTTGAGAAATTAGCATATTGAAATATTTAGATAGAGTGATGATATATATTCACTTTTTGGATAATGAGTGGTTCGAGTTCGATGTGAACTTACGAACGAACAATTATGAATGTGATTATATTTATGAATAATGACGGATCCAGGATATTATGATTGTGGGTGCTCAATTCCTTTAACATAAAGTTGCTAGTCAAGAAAGGTTTCTTTGTAGAAGCTTAATAATATTTTTTAGTTAGTAAATGAAATACAAAAAATAGGAAATGAAAAAACTACAAAGAAATATAAGCAAAAAGTCGGTGAAAAGGTATAAAAAGAATTCAAAAACTATGAAGAAGTTCAGTTTGCCTTTTTTCAACAAAAAAATCAGGAGGTTACGCTAGGATTCGAACCCCAGTGCAATGCACCAACAATCTCAAAATCAACTTCACGATCAAAGCACTCGCAAAAATGGGTGCTAACAAACATATTATGTAACTTATTCAACATTTTCTATATAAATATACAAAAAATTTCGTCGAGGTCAATGTGTGCTCGAGCACCGATAACTCTATATGTGGGTCTGCCCCTGTTTATGAATGATATAATGTTTTAACTAGAATTAAGATTTTATAATTATTTTTAAAATAATAAAAGAATTAATTGTTATTCTAATCATGATTGGACCTTTTCTTATAAAATTTAAATAATACAATACTTTTATTGTACTTTTTTATTTGTCTACTATTTTGAATAGATATTTTATTATATAAAAAAATACAATTATTATATTTTTCATATTTTACCTTTAACATTAATCACTTATTCCCAAATCATTTTTAAGACCTAAACATAAATTAATAGAATAATCTCTATGTCCAATACTTGTCCACTATTGACTTTATACAATTCTTAAGAGACTATAAATAGAAGAGTAATTTTACTATACTATCCTTTGAATATACTCACTCCTTTCACTTTTATTTGGCCCTTTTTCCTAAAATAATTTTTTATTTTTACCTGTCACTTTTGACATATCAAGAAAAGGCAATAATATTTTTCCATGTTTATCCTCAACATTAAATACTCTTTCTTCAAATTATTTTCCAAGACTTAATACTAAACATTATTTAATAGGGATAGTTTGGTAAAATACCTATATCAATAATCATTTTCTTAATGAGTGTGTCAAGTCAAAATGTGACAAGTAAAAGTGAACGGAGGGAGTAATAAATACAATGTCTTGAAAAATGTATAGGAAAATGATTACAGTTAATGATAAGGGTAAATTAGAAATTAAAGTGTAAAATTATCAATTAATTTCTAGACAAATATTATAAGATATTCCAAAATATTATAGTGAACAACAGTGTTGAACGGAGGGAGTACACAATATGATAAAATAATCATATCAATTATTATTTTTATTAAATATATCTATACAAATATAAAAAGTACAAAGAGAGACATGTTGAGAAAATGGTAAAAAACCTTATCCGAATAAGGTGCTTTATCACTTTTATTAGAGCAAGGGCATTATTGTCTTAACGTAAAAAAGACGAACTTCCCGGTCATGTAAATCTAAAATCTAAAGAGTGGGAGACCCAAAAAAGCATTTGAATAATCTGCAGCAAATATATAAATAGTAGCACCAAATACATGGGGCGGCAGCAGCAAAGATCTGGAACGCCATGGAAGTAGCAGAAGGAGCTCGCCACAGCGTGACAGCCAAAATTCCCTATTCCTCCCTCACCGTCGATCATTCTCTCTCTATTACTCATCTAAAGCCTAAAATCGTGTATGTTTGGATTTCCGCTTTATGTGAATTGAACAGTTTTTCAATTTTGGATGCTGGCTTTAGGTTTTGATTTGATATGTTGTGGTTGTGCTATTTAGGCATGCACTAGCGTTTTGTTTAGTAGTACTTAAATGATAATACTCCATTTGCCTGATTTTGTTTGGTACTTTTTCAATTTTTGTTACCTTTCTATATTTTAAAACTTATGTGTTTTGCTTTTGACATGAATTGTAATAGGTTTATTTATGTCAATTTATGTGCCAAAAGCTTATTTTGTCTCTTTACTTTGTGTCCAATTAAACCAAGACAAACAAATTGAGACACAGGGAGTAGTAGGATTGATGGATGTCTTGTCAATCTCTTTTATGTTATGATTTATGATTTGAGTTGAGTTGATATATTGGTTAAAAATAATATGTTGGATTAACATTGACTCAATTGTGATTCCAGTGTAAAATGGTTGACTTTACCTAAGCTCTATGTTTATTGTTCTCTTCAGCTTGTTAGTGAGACATGATATAAAAGCTTCATTTTCCTACTGGTTGAAATGATCAAAAGACATTTCAGTTGTAGATTTTTCGAGTATCAATCCTTGTTTATGTTATGAAAACCAAAATTCTAATTTTGGATGTATTGAATTAGTATTTTCTCACTTCAAAGTATTTCAGTTGCTGCAAGAGCATAGTGCACCATTTTGGCATTTAAATATGAATGGAATGTTAACCGACAATACTATGAGATGTAGTGAGTGCATGAATTTATCTGTAAACATAGCATGATGGCAACATTGTATCATTTGAGGGATGGACTTTTAGTTTTAAGGATAATCAGAATACAAGATTATGCTCTTTTAAAAACTTCTACTTATTCCTCGAAGGGAGTGGCCTAGTGGACGTAGAGTTGGAGTGACAACCTTGGAAACCAAGGTTGAACCCTAGCGAAAGTGATAATAGGTGAATTATTTCCATTTGTCTAATCCTCGGTAGGTGTAATAGGTGGCAACATGTATCCAGTGAACTAGTCGAGGTGCATATGGTTGTCAAGACACCATCATTGTAAAGAAAAAGGTCTTAGGTGTTCCTCTGGTTATTGCGTAATAAGTATATGTGAGATTAAATGGGACATGATTTAGCATGCTGATGAAACTTGTATGTAAAATAGATGTATTGTAAATTTTTCCTTCCCACACTCAGAAGTATATTTAGCATATGCATGCACCTGTATATTGAGGCTAGTTTTTGTTCTTCCTCTTCTATTTCTGAACTTGGTTTGAAACTATGCAGAGAACTGTGCAAGGACTTGTTCAACCAATGGTCAAATCTAGATGGTTCTCACTTCTCTGTAGAGACTGTATCTGGTGGCATCACAAATCTATGTGTGTATTTTATTCTGTTTGAATTTGCAATTTTTAAGCACTCATTTGCATTCCAAACTTATCATTCTATAATTGTGTATACGATGTGTACTATCCGATGACAAAAAGAATGATTCTTACTGTTAAAATCTTTATTGCTCAGAAAATTTTAAGACTAAACATATTTGCTAAGATTGTAGTATGTCCTAACAATATTTTTTTATTTTTGCAGTGCTAAAAGTATCTGTAAGAGAAGATGACGGAAAGCATGAACATATGACAGTTAGGTTATATGGTCCAAATACTGAATATGTCATTAACCGTGAGCGAGAAATGCAGGTTAGTTTCAGAGGCTTCTGTTGATTAATTTTATTCCGTGCATTATTCCTATCATATGGAGCGGTAACAGTTGACTTTTGAGTAATAGTCAATTACACTTGGGTTATCTGTTTTTCATTTTAACTACAAGGTTATTTGATCTGTCAAACTAGTGTTTGAATCTTCTCCTCTCCCCACAAAGTATGTTATGTGGATGTCAACTTGCAGTGTAGCTTCATTAGGTGTTATTTCTGTGTATCTCGTCCTTTTTGTTAGTAGGATTGTGTCCAAGAAGAGTATGCATAGACTTCACATGTAAGTCTTGTACTCTTATCCACTGGGGCAAATAAGCCAATCAACCTCCAAAACATTTTGAAATCTACTCCCTCTATCTTAAGAAGAAGAACAGTGTTAACACTACGAAATTTACTTTCTGTCTAGACATTGATTCCTCAGTATTACAAAAATTAAAGTTCCCATATCTAAAAGCTATATAGAAGTACAATAAAGAATAATTTATATTCAAGAATATATATGTAATGTTCAAAAATTGTTACTAAAGAAAAAAGGTACTCTCTCCAAATAGTGGTTATGTATTTTGCCAAGTTAATGGGGGACTTCACCTTTGTTATACACTTCACTTTAAAATTATGTTTTGTTCATAGTGAGGGGAAAAAGAGGGGGAGGGACTAAAATTATGTTTTGTTCATAGTGAGGGGAAGAAGAGGGGGAAGGACTAGTTGAATTATTTTCTCCGGAGAAAGTATTTTGGAGTCCTAGTATCTGCACATTTATATCACAAAATCTGTGTCCATGCTTAATTATAAATATCTTTCTCAATAATTATTGTTAGGAATTGTACATCTACCATTCTTCAAAATTTAGGCATGAAGTCAGCTGTTTGATTCTAGATGTTCTGATTGATGTTATGCAAGTTTACTTTTGTTCTTGATATATATATTTACTGTCAGGTTTTGACTACATAGGTTTAAGCTTTTTGTGATCAGTTAATAAATTATTTCTTGCACAAGCTTAGTCCATAATTCCACGTCTTCTTTGGTGAAGTCTGAATTTTCGATGGATGTCTCCACTCTCTAAACTTTGAAGTTTTATTTATTTAGTTCTTGTAATTATGGCCATGTCCATGTATCATACACACTTCATGATTGTTAAGTACCTGTCTTTAGGCGATTCAACACCTCTCAGCGGCTGGGTTTGGTGCCAAGTTGCTAGCAGTATTTGGGAATGGCATGGTTCAGTCATTTATTGATGCACGCACTTTAACACCCCCAGGTAGGCATTTAATCAGACTTCCACTTGTAGCTTATATGTAGTAGAGACTATTCGTGGTTTAGTGTAAAAAACTTTTGGCTACCTTCCAGATTTCATTTTTCCTTTGTGATTTAGAAATTTTTACATGTTTCCTTTTCCTATTAGAATTATTTAGGACTAGGCATCAGAAAATCTGGGAGGAACAAAATTAAGAAGTAAACTATATTCTTATCAAAAAAGTAAACTCTCTCTCCTCTCTCTCTCTAATATATATATATATATATGTACATATATATACATATGTATATATATATATATTATTTTTTTTCTGAGATTAAGCATTATGTGATGTCAAGAGCAGCACTTAAGAATGCACTGCAATTACACCAAAATATAGAAACTAAAGCAACATCAAGAAAAGCTAAAATCCTGATACCATTTCTAAATTACACCAGAAAGCTATCAATGTGATGCAATCAAATCTAACTTTCAAAATAGTGGTTTCTCGTCCTGTGAAGCATCTTTTATTCCTTTGTTTTCAACTGCACCGCCAAATGCAAGCAGGTATGGTGTTCCAAGTCTCATTAAGTGCTTTGTCAGTCCTTATCTGTTCCAGCTCAAAAGAAACTTTTAAACTGTTCTTGGCATAACCCATTTCAGTCCCAAAAGATTGACATCTTCCAAACATGTAAAGTGAAAGTTCAGTGAAGGAACAAACAATTGTTGATTCTGATTCTTCTCAACACATGAAACTCTGTTGGCTGATTGTATTCTCCTTATTCATAGATTATCTTGAGTGAAGCATGATTCTTTGGTTATTAGCCGCAGAGGAACTCACATTGAGCATATGTTTTGCAACCCTTAATCATTGTCTATGAGTAATATGATTGTCCCTTCTGAATGTAGCATGAACTAACGGTAAATGATTCATTTTCCTGACCCTTTCAAGTTGTTGATCTTCATTGTTATTAAGACATTGGAATGTAGATAAAAAGCTGAAAAAATCTGCAATCACTCTAATTTTCCATTCATTAGGATTTCTTCTGAAAGTGATGTTCCAAATGTTTCCCTCCCTTCTTTGTGCTAGTGTAAAGTTGGTGTCCTGTGGAAGGTTAAAAAGAGTGAGAAATTCATTTCTAAGACGAGAGTGTCCTAGCCAATTATTTCGCCAGAAAGAGACTTTTTTCCATTCCTATCTTGATTTCTATATCCTGTGAAAAACGTGGCATGGTTCTCCAATATTTATCCCTACACCTATTCCTTGTGGGGGAGCGCCCGTCTATGGACACCACATGTTCTCTTGACCAAACTACACTGTGATAGCCTTCCTCCTTAGGGATCGTTTGGTAGAGTGTATAAAAATAATGCTCAATAGAGTGCATCTAGTAATGCTTACATTAGTAATGCTTGCATTAGTTATGCTTGCATTAGTTATGCATAGATTATTTCTTATGCATTTTGATGTATTAAGAATAGTGTGCATTGTATCAAAATATTTATTTACAAAAATATCCTCCACAATTATGATGGAAAAGATGTAGAAGTGCTTTTGAGGGGTAATTGGGTATTGAACCATGCTAATGCATTTATTAAATCCCTTTGCATTACTAATACCTAGAAATCCATGGTATTAGTAATACACTCCTCAATACACAATAGAGTGTATAACTAGTGCTTGCATTAGTTATACATAGCATGAAAAAGTGTACCAAACAAGGGACTACTAATACACAAAGCTAAAGCATGCATTATTTTTCCTAATACACTCTACCAAACGACCCCTTGGAGCATTGATTTCAACATTATTTCTTCATAGCCATTTCATCAAAAGGCTCCTATATTGTACTCTTAAGTTCTTGATGCCCAACCCCTGGGGAGGATATAATATGTATTCCTCCAAACCCAATAGCTTAGCTCAGACCCTGTATATTTGTTAAAAAAATTCAGTAAATAATAGAAATAATAGATTTTGAATTCAATAAATCAAATGAGCTGCAGTAGGTCTTCGCACTTGAACCAATAAAGCATAAATCTGGATCCCCCTCTGCCTGAACCTTCTTTATAGAGACGATGCTGTACTTCACTAGGTTGAAATTACCTTCTATTGCCTTTCCATGAGAAGTTTCTCCTTGACTAGTCAATTCTCTTTTTCACCTTAACAGGCATTGGGAACATAGACATATAATATATGTTGCCATTGAATCCAACACACTATTATTATGATTCAAGTGCCCCCCCTAGAGAAAGGTATTTTTCTTCTAGCTGGATAAACTCATTTCACATCTTTTCACCACCTCCTGCTATATAGTTATGCTTTATGTTTTGCCCCTAAAGACAGATCCAAATCTCACACTGAGTTGACTGGAATTAACCTGTTTTGACCAATTGACATGAAGTCTTGAGAATGCCTCAAAACACTCAAAATAAATAACAATTACTTTAGTTGACATGCTGCTTGTTCAGGAAAAATGAGAGTGTCATTCGCATATAGATGATGTGAAATGGATAGTACATTTTGTTTGCCCTCTGTTCATCTTGAAGCCCTTGAACCATCTTTCATTAACAGAGAAAACACAACATTCTACTAGAACACTACAACCTACTAGGTCAAACTCTCTATGTCAATTTATCTAAAGGTTCCTGAAAATACCTACTAGTTATAGACTTCTAGGAAACCCTAGTCTAAAGTAAGATACATTCTCGGAAGTCCCTGGTAGTTAAATTCGTTGAAGAGTGAAAATGAACATTGAATTTATAATCTGCAATCCTCCTTCATCCTATGCTGTGATGTTCCCCATGGGTTTTCATTTGGTGCTAAGAGAACTTCCTGTATTTAGTCAAACCATCAAAAGAAAATTTATTCCCTTAGGTTTAAGGTTTGACTTCCAGATTCTGTAGCTGCTTTTATACGACCAATCATCCAAGACAAAAAAAAGTTCCCTTCATGATACATAAATTATTTGCTGTGATGTAGTGGTGAAAGCCCCATAAACAGCTTAAACCATGGACAAAACATGCGGGTTTTTTTTTTCATCTGAAAGGGGCTTGACGCAGGGTGATCCCCTCTCCCCTTTCCTATTGGTCTTTGCCAATTGTTGTATGCTGATGACACTGTAATCTTCTGTGAGGCAAAAGAAGACCAGATCAGATATATCAGAGTGATACTTATGATCCTGGAAGCTGTCTCTGGTCTGAGGGTTAATTGGAGGAAACACAGTTTATTCCCTATCAGGGAAGTAGCACAAATGCAAAGATTGGCTAACATCCTAGGGTGCAAGATTGAGCAATTCCCAACAACTTACTTGGGAATGCCTCTGGGAAGCAATCATAAAGAATTACTAATATGGGATGAGATAATCCAGAGGCCAGAGAAGAAGTTAGCCATATGGAAATCTCAATACTTGTCACTTGGGGGCAGACAAACATTAATAAATACAGTGCAGGACACCCTCCCCACTTATGTCATGTCTCTATTTCCCTTACCTGCTAAGGTGTTGGAGAAATTGGACAAACTTAGAAGAGACTTTCTTTGGTTTGGAAACAAAGAAAGGAAGGGGTACTATCTAGTTAACTGGGAAACAGTGCAGCTACCTACGCTCTCAGGTGGTCTTGGAGTTAGGAATCTTCGAATCCACAATGTGCGCCTCTTGATGAAATGGCTGTGGAGATATGTGAAAGAAGAACAGGTTCTTTGGAGAGAAGTTATACATCACAAGTATGGCCAGGACTCCCAATGGTGTGCCAATGAGGTCACTATACCATATGGAGTTTCAACATGGAAAACAATAAGATCCTTCTCGACCAAACTAGCAGGAAACATCAAACTCAGAATAGGAAATGGAGCTAAAATACTATTCTGGAAAGATGTTTGGGTAAGACAGGAGGCATTAATGCAATCTTTCCCTGACTTATTTTCTTTCTGTAGCAATCCAGATATCACTCTAGCTGAGAGTTGGGCAAATGGTGGGATACATCTTTCAAGAGACATTTCAATGATTGGGAAATAGATAGGGTGGCACAATTGTTACATGTAATCAATGAGTTTAATGGTTTTGTTGCAAGGCCAGACACAGTCTCGTGGGTACACTCTGAGGATTGAAGGTTCACAGTGAGAGTTTTGATAATAGCTCATTGAATATCAAGAGCCTGAGTTACATATATTTATAACAAGGATATAAGAATCCTAGATATACTACAAGTCCTAGTTATACATCAATACACTAGACAATCCTAAGAGTCCTAATCTGATAAATATAAGAGTCCTAATACACAGTTAACAAGCTCTATAAGAAGGAGCTGGAAACTCAGCAAGGCCTCATATTGGCTAGATGGAAATATGTATGGACAAGCCAAGCACCAACCAAGTTTGTTTTGTATGGTTGGTAGCTAAGAGGGCTTGTCTGACTCAGGAGGTACTGCAGATTAAAGGTGCACAACTAGTACTAAGGTGTTTTCTATGAAATGAGACAAATGAGACCAATAACCATCTTTTTCTACATTGTAGAGTCACTGGTCAACTATGGTCTCTGTTTTTGACGCTCACTGGTAACAGCTGGACGATGCCAGAGCATACTGCTGACCTGTTGAGTTGCTGGATCAGGAGAGGAGCAAGTAAAAGCCAAAAAAAGTGGTGGAGAATTATTCCAGCTTGCATATGGTGGTCAATATGGGAGGAAAGAAATGGAAGATGCTATGAGAACAAGTCAAACTCCATACAGAAAGTTAAAGAAAAATGTATTACATATTTGTATTTTTGGTGTAAACAGGAATGTATAGAGGAGTTAGAGCAACTAGTAGATATGCTAGGATCTTTGTAATTAGCCTTCCTAGTCCCTCTATGTACTAAATTACTAATTTTTGGAGGTCACCAACATATCCTTAATGCTGAGGAATACAACATTACTAATTTTTTTTTAAAAAAAACTAGTTGTTAACAAAAAGTAAAAACCTACACAAAAAGAATATTTTCTACGAATGGGACCTAATCATTTCATATATACTAACAAGAATTATGTGGTTGCACCAAATATTGGCCAAAAATAAAAGGCATGCCCTATACTGTACTAACTCATTTCCACCCCTTCAAATGTTCTCTTGTTCCTCTCCAAAGGAATCCACATAAGGGCCGGAAGGGGCTACATCTGGTAATAAATAATCCATATCATATGCTTGACATGTTTTGTCCATGGTTTAAGCTGTAGTCGTCGTTAGATCTCTTAAAGAATGTAATATTGATTGGTCCATTTTGAAGAAACAAAAAGATGCTGATCAGTGATCATTGCATAGGCTGGAATTGCTTTTATAATTAGCAACCAAAATGTGCAAAAAAGATATGTGAGCTTTCATTATAGTTAATTATCACGTGCCTTTCATTTTTCATTGGCCTTGTTGATCTTCCTTTGTATAAACTTGTACTCTTCAAGATTCATCTTCTTTGCCTAATTAGCATAGTCATTTCATCATCTTTCTGTGTGTCTGCCTCTCCTCCTTCTGAAGTAGTTTAATAGAAAAGAAGTCGGTGGTTTGAATCTTATAGAACTTGTCCACAAACTAGGTTGAGAAGAGCACATTTGAATAGTAAGGAGAGCTTTGTAAGCCCTGTAACAGGACTAGAGTTTAACACGACAGTTGCCTTTGAGTCCTTTCATCAACAGATCTTGTTTGACCTGTTACACTTACATGTAAGTTTATTGTATCATGGGGTTGTTGAAATAATTTTCTGGCACTCTGTTTTTCAGGGATACCTACATTTTTCACTTCTCCCCAACCTCATGGTGTTATTTTTATATGCAAATTAGTTGTCATTTTCTTGTTACTTCTTCAACAGACATGAAAAACCCAAAGCTTGCTGCTGAAATTGCAAAGCAACTCCGAAAGTTCCATCAGGTGGAAATTCCGGGCTCCAAAGAACCTCAAGTGTGGAATGACGTGTTAAAGTTCTTCAAAAAAGGTCCATCCTTTACTGAACATTCTCCAGTGATATTATATAAATGAGACGTCATTTTCCCTGAATTGGTTGATATGTATGGATCCCTCATCCCTTTAGTCTCATAGACTGGAACCACTTGTACTGGATTAACTGCTATGACGAAAGATCCATCTCATGCCTGAGTATTTTCCATTTTTGCAGCATCAATTCTCCAATTTGATGATGGTGAGAAGAAGAAGAAGTATGAGACAATTTTGTTCCAGGAAGTTCATAATGAAATCATTGAGCTCAAGGTAGTCCCACCTCCCATGACATGTAGTTGATTATTACTCTATTTATTATTTGCTGTTTACCTGAGGGGAGGGGATTCTCCCAATATCTTCTTCATAACAGTGCAAATTCAGCCCTACAAGCATTTAACATTTTTCTTAATCTGTATTATGTTAGTTTGCTTTCACAGATTTGCTAATTTGAAACCATATGTTAGCAATTTTCCCTTAACCCCCCTTTTGGAGAAATCAATAGCTTTAAGATGTTCAGCGCGTCATTTTCCGAAGTCAATTGTTGTTTTTCTCTTGTTATCTTGCTGGAGAGATCTAGGCATCTCCTTTGGCACCTACGAAAACCTTCAAAGAACTTTTTAAGTGTTGACTCATCTTCCATCATACTATGGTTCAGACTGTTTCAAATTGGATGACTTTGTATACGTATTTCCATTTTACATCTTTCTTGTAGTTGCACAGCCAAAGTTAGCACAAATGAAATGTTGTAGGTTTCAAAGTTAAGGGATTCTTATTTTCCACATAAGGTGCCACCGTCTTTCTTGCTTTTATTGTAACAATAATTTTGAACTTAATAAACCTGAAATATATTGGAAGTTAAGACGAGTTTTCTTTAGGATAAATTTATCAGCTTAACTACTACTACCTCTGTAAAGCGGATGATATTGAAAGTTATTTGGTAATGGGCCCGAATGGCATTGTATTAAATAGCTTCATGTATTAAATGGATATATCTCTTTGTTTCAAAAGTAACGTGCAATTCTGGAACAGGAATTGACTGACCGGCTTAACGCCCCGGTGGTGTTTGCTCACAATGACTTACTCTCTGGAAATCTGATGCTTAATGAGGATAAAGGTACTTGTGATCTAGCTTTCCATGTGTTTACATCTTGATTGAGGTACTTTCTTCTGTCATGGCATTTTCAATTAGAAATTCTCCAGCGTCTCCCCGGTCATGATAAAATTCAATAATCTCGAGATTCCTTTTCATCTGTTGGAGAAGAAAACCCTACCATTTAGATTACTTAATTGGTTCTGCACATTGCAGACATCCTCTTTGGTATTACTAATGCAAATTTTTATGCTTGTGATCATATATTGGGTCACTATTGCTTGTTCGTCTTTCTCAAGGTTTTATTATGTTTAGTAAGGGAACTAATTTTCTCTGAAGGGACTCGTATTCTCTTGTGATAAAGACAACATAAGTCTTTGGATGAACTTTATCAGGTCACTCCTGCTTTCATTTATGTTCTTTGTTTGAAAAACTTTCCATATGATTAATAACGTCAAATCAAATAGTCTATCCCATTTAAAAGAATATATCTGAACGATTTTTTAGGTCTTTTAATCTGGTTTTTACATTGCATCAAATGGTTGACATTTCTAAATTTGATCTTGGTGTCTGTTGTCATATTGGAAAACTGCTTGATGAATTTGTTCTTAGTTACAATTAAATGCTGAACTTAACTGTTTGTACTAACCTCATTTTCGTTTATCAAAATCCAGAAAAGCTGTATTTCATTGATTTTGAGTATGGATCCTACAATTACAGGGGATTTGACATAGGGAATCACTTCAATGAATATGCTGGCTATGATTGTGATTACAGCTTGTATGTTGCGTCTCCCTCTCTTCATTTCTTTCTCCATGTCCTCAGTCCTCTTCTTTCCCTCTATCTTATGGTGATATTTTGTTGAAAATGATTACTAATATTAGAGATGGTTCTATATGTAGATATCCAAGTAAGGATGAGCAGTTTCATTTCTTCAGGCACTATTTGGATTCTGACCAACCGAATGAGGTAAATGAGGAAAAATGTCAGAACTTCTTATACTTAATTTTGCATGTTGTATAGCTAAGATGGAACTTGCGTAGTGCTATTATTACTGAAACAATTATTTAGCCCAAAAAAAAAAAACCAATCAGGAACACTCCCAACATTACAGAGGAGATTATACAGCAAACTCGACGGAGAAGTTTTATGGGTGGAAAGCATTTGTGCAAAACAATCTCTGAGAAGGCATAGTCTAATTGACAAAAAATAAAGGTTTTAAGATAGTATCGTGATTTGTGCCCGAGAGGAGTTGAAAGACTTTCTTCCATCAAGTTTGGAAGGATTAATAATTTTTTTCACCAATGAGAGCTTTACATGCCACCTATTGATGTTTCACCAGAGAGCTTTTACGTGCCACCAATTGATGTGTTGAAATTTATAGGCCCTTTTATGCCCTTGTCCTAATAGTGTACCTAGCCAATCTTGTTTTCTGGAACATAACCACATTGCTACTATATGCACGTTCTTGTGGGTTTGTTGGGAGAAATCATGAGATTAAGACTTGGAACGCTACTGTAGTACTGTCTGCTACCGAATAGAAAACAGTTGAACTTAAACATCAGTAATTGCTAAGTATATCTAAGTTAATTTTGATGACAGGTATCTGACAAGGACCTCGAAGCCTTATATGTTGAGACCAGTAGTTACATGCTAGCTTCACATCTATACTGGGCTCTCTGGGCTTTGATCCAGGTACTGATATTATGCTATATTTTAGATGCAGTCCAAAGAATGCCAAAAGATAATCTCATATTTTAATCTTTTTGTTATGGTTATTCCTAGGCGAAAATGTCACCCATCGATTTTGATTACATCAGTTATTTCTTCCTGCGCTATAATGAATACAAGAAGCAGAAGGAGAAAGTCCTCTCTTTAGCCAAGTCATATCTCTCGAAACCCGAGCTGGGTAAAAGATTCATGTAACACAGTTCCAAACTCTTGAAAGCAGAAGGAGAAAGTCATCTCTTTACCCAAGTTATATCTCTCAAAACCCGAGCTGGGCGAATGGTTCATGTAACACAGTTCCAAACTCTTAAAAGCTGCAATCGACACGAACATTTTGATCTCATTTGTTGCAAGGTAGAAATAGTTGCTGCTGTAGTCAAGTTGGACTGTGCAAAATAATTTTTTCTTTCTTCCAGAAAGCATATTAAAGTGTGTTGTAATACTCAAAATTCATTGCTTGAAGTTTGAACACGAAATATATTTTTGAAACCAAGGATCTGAACTTACCCCTTTTTTCATTTTAAAATGTCATATATCTATATTTTTTAGGGAAAATTGTATATAATAGCAAACTATTAATTCAAATTAAATGCTATAAATATACTTTGATTTAATTGTACCCTATAACAAACTATTGCTATTTTTGCCACTCTCCCTGGTGGAATCTCGCTCGCCTCTCTCTTTATACAAAAACGCAAATGTATAAAATGTGTTTGTGTTTGTATAAAGCTAGAGAAAATTTATATATACATATATTTTCGTTCCCCTCTCTCCCCTCTCCCAGATCTCGCTCGCTCACTCGCCTCTCTCACTTTATACAAACAAAAACGAAATGTATAAATTGCATTTCTGTTTGTATAAAGTGAGAGAAAATTGTATATATACATATATTTTCGTTTCCCTCTCTCAGATCTCACTCGCTCACTCGCCTCTCTCACTTTATACAAACAAAAACGAAATGTATAAATTGCACTTTTGTTTGTATAAAGCGAGAGAAAATTGTAGATACACATGCAAATACATATATCTTCGTCCTATACACTTATAATTATACAATATAAATGTTTTCCTGCCCAGTTTTTTTTGTCTTTCTCTCTTTCTCGTTTTATACATACACAGATTATACAATTGATCTTTTGTATACAACTGCTTTCTTTGTATATGTATAGCAAATTATACAACTGTTTTTTTGTATATTTATTGCGAATTATACATATATATGTTCGTTATGGAGCGCAATTATGCAAACTTTGTTATAGCATACAAATATGAATTTTGTGTTTGCTATATGTGAAAGTTGCTCTTTTTTTTTGCGTGTTGATGTCAGCATCCACCCTTTGCTCCCTATATAAATATACTCTAATGGTATCAAAGAGTAACTGAACAATGTCTTCATTAAAGTACTGCTTCTTCTTCCTTGATACCATCAAAGTATAATATACTCTGGTGGTATCAATGAGTAACTGAGTAGTGTTTTCATTGAGGTTTGCTTCAGTCATTCGATGGGATTACTTGACCATCCATGATACCATTACGGTGTATCTATATATTGTTGTGGTATTATTGAGGTATGTTTCAATTTTTCGATATTTTAATTTAAAAACAGTTTTAAAAAAGAGTCATAATTTATATACAATTTTTCTAAAAATTTGCAGAAAGAGAAAAATTATAAAAATATATTTTCTACTAATTTAGAGTTTAATAAATAAGATTGTGACTTCACTAATTTTCTCTTAGTTATTTCTTAAAAAAAGAGTTCAATCCTATACCAATAGGATATCAATATGCCGATGGAGTATCATAGAGGTTAAGCTCAATCCTATATGATATCGATATGGTATCAATAAATTGATAGAGTATCACAAAGAATATATTTTACTAATTTAAAGTTTATAATAAATAAGATTGTGACTTTAATAATTTTCACTTAATTGTTTCTTATTTATTTTTTAAAATAGAGCTCAATCCTATATGATATCGACAGGGTATGAATATACCAATGGAGTATCACATATGATGAAACTCATTCTTATACGATACCGATATTTTATCAATATATTGATGGAGTATCACAGATGATTAATTCATAATAGTGATTAGGGATGTTCGTGGTTCGGTAATTGGATCGGTTATTGATTAAAATCAAAACCAAACCAATCTAGTCGGTTTTTTAAATTTCTAAAACCAAACCAAATCAAAAGGAAAAAAAAAATAACCGTTGGTTTGGTTATTGTCGGTTTGGTTCTGTTTGGTTCAATTTTTCTGGTTTATTCAGTTTGAAAGTAATATTTTTTTTTCAGGATGTACTTATCTCGATAGACATGAACACTTAGTAAATGAGCAATCCATAAAAAAACTATTATCTGTTTAATTAAGCAATACTAACTTATTGGTTAGCAAGGTAGGTAAAGACTAAAATGGATTTTGATAGACTTGGACTTAGGATTGTTATAGTTGGACTAAAGTGTTGGGCTTGAGAAAATGGTAAAGTTAAAGATTTCAGTTAATTAAAATTTAACAAAATATTTATGAATAATATATAAATAATTTAAAAATATATATATCTAATTTATCGGTTCGGTTTGGTTATTTTTGCAGTTGTTTTTTAGTAAAACCAAAATCAAATCAAATGGTATCGATTTTCAAAGTTTAAAACCAAACCAAACCAAATATCGGTTTTTTTAGTCGATTTGGTTCGAATTGCGATTCGATTTAGATTTTTAACCATAACCATGAACAACCCTAACAGTGATGCTAACATCATACACGAAATAAGAAAGGAGAAAGTGGGGGTAAGCGGATAAATAATTTGGATCATGGGTTCATTAAGGATAAATAATTTAAATTGGATCCAATTTGAGTAAATAGTTTCACAATTGAATCTGTTTTGCATAGTTTTCTCTTTTACAAAAAATATATTTTTGTTAATCTGTTGATGCCAAAACAAGTCAATTTGCCTTGTAAGTCTGCCAAGATAACATAATCCCTTGCCCCAAAAGTAAAAAAGAGAAGAAAACGTGAAGTGTAGGAGCTCTTTTTTGCTACTAATTTCACTATTGCTTAGCGTGTTTCCAACATCATGGTAGTAGTTACTAGTTACATATATAATAACAGAAACATGAATACTCATTAATTAATTTTATTGTGCGCTTGTAAAACAATTTTTAAAAGTTGCATTTGAGTTTCAAAATAAGAATTAAAGAGAAAGTATAAGTATTTAAATTAAAATGATGTATATATAGCGATCCTATACTAGTCAAATTCTGTACAAGTATATTAGTTTGAATAATATTTTCATTTTGCCAGGGTGTTAAAGTATCTGGTTTTGAAGAATCTAAGTAGCTTAGTTTGTTGGTTACATGAACTCCACGTTGTTGGTGAGGGTTCAATTCCTTTTACTAAGTATTAAGTATATTAACAAAATAAAAATAAAAAATACAAATAAAAAGGTCTTATATTATTAGAGTAAAGAATTTAAGAGAATAAATATTATTGTTCAATTTCTTTACCTAATTACCTTTGAATAAGAATATAAATATTCTTTGAAATATGCATATTTGCGGTTATTACATGCATATATTACTTAATAATAAGATGCAAATCAATCATAATTTGCTGCACTTTATTCATATAGAGGCTATTTGAATTTCTTAAAATTATACTCCGTAATACTTCATTATATATAAATTTCTTATCTATCATTTCCTTTAATAAAAAATCAAATTTACTTAGTTAAATGAACATGATTTTGTATATTGTTTCCCTTCCCGCCATATACTTTTAAAGCTTATAGTATTAAATATGTTATATTACTGTGTGATTATAAAAATTTCTAACGATATAATGAGAAATTTAAGTTAAAATATTTTCAATATAAGAAAGTCATCATTTTTACTAAAGAAACTAAAAAAAAAAACTGTTGTCACAGAGGGAGTAGTATTTTTAGTGTTAAGTATTAAGTATCGAATCAATAATTAGATAGCTTGATCGTTGTACTCTAAACTCCCCTATTCTTTCTGGAATAGATGGAGCATTAGTAAGTTTTTCTTTTTATAGATTAAAAAAGACAAGATGTTTCAAAGATAAATTACGATAACGGGTATTCCCTTGATTCATATTATGTGATAGTGTATGATTAAATATGAAATTCAAAAAAGAAAGATTAATTTATAATCTAGAATAAGTTATAAATATTTGTATGATCATATATAATGTCTCAGTAAGGAACAATAAAAAATAAAAATAAAAATAAAATTTATTTTTGAATAATAAAGTGTACTACATATTTTTCTCGTACATAATAAAAAAATTATAATACATTGAAATATAAAAAGTAATGGAAAAAAAAAGCATAAAAAGTAATGGTTTTGGTTCATTAACATTCTAAAAAACTTTATTTATGATACGTAGTAAAATTCCAAAAAGGAAATGCATTTCTTTGAGGGTCAAAAATGAACAAAACTTTACCCACAAAATTACGCATGACATTAAATCACACAAATGATACTATAGTTTATTTTAGATGACAAGTAAAAGTCTTTCCACACAAATGTTTATAGCTTGTTCTAGATAAAAAAAAATTCATCAAAATCATTTTTTCTTTTTAAATAATGTGTCAGGTCAAACATCGTCACATATGTGTTTGCAACAAATTTTAAAGTGATAGAAAATAAATTGCAAAATTTCACGAATCTTTTTTTTTTATTGATAAAACATTGTGGATACAAATTTATTTATTCCCTTGATTCTTCTCGTGAATTTTCTCTATGAATCGATGATTGTACGTTAGTAGTGTATGATTTATTTTGATCTCTGTGAAAAGATAATCCTTTTTAAGTATTTGGTTGTCAGGAAGAGTTCAACCACATCTTTCTAGATGTCCAGCCTCTTCAAGAGAATATATCACTCTTTATACAAACATGTAGGGTTTAAGGTAGAATAATTTCTAAGAATTTTAACTGAAATTTGATTCGTCTTACAATAACTAAAATTAGCTACAAACTTTGTTGCTAGTATGTGCTAATTCACTCGTAGCTATTTAATTTTGATTATTTATCGCTAGTCCGTTATTAATGAATTAATTGAAAAAGAGGGAGAATTAATTAATTAATTGTTCCTCCTTGAACAAACTCTATAAATAGGAGTCATCTCTCTATACACAAATGCCATCAAAACCACTAGAAAAAAAATGGGGCAATCACCACCAACATCATGTTATAATAACATATTGTTGAGCATTTTTGTTACTATTTTGATATTATTGCCTCAATATTCACATGCAACACTTTCCACAAATTCAAGATGGATAATAAATGAAGGAGGACAAAGGGTGAAATTATCTTGTGTTAATTGGGTGAGTCATTTGGAAGTCATGGTAGCAGAAGGACTAAGCAAACAACCAATTGACACTATTTCAAAATCCATTACTAATATGGGTTTTAATTGTGTTAGGCTTACTTGGCCTCTTTTTTTGTTTACTAATGATTCTTTGTC